TCAGCAGGCTGACTGGGAAGAAGACAGCTTCCTTCGACTAAATCTCACCACTCTAGCGGGCACGGTGATACAGCTCCATGTCCCTGTTAGCATCTACCACACTTGGGACACGCTAGAGGAATACCTGGTCGAGCACCTGCCATGCATCAGTCCCATCGAGACGTTTGGGTGCGAACTCACCTTGCTCAATGCGGATACGCAGGTGGCGCTTCAAGATCCTGTGCAGGAAGAACTCTGGAATACCAATCATTTCTGCCTGGTTGTACACGAGTGCTTTCGGTGTTTAGAAAATAATAAGCCGTTGCAAGGGCTTGATTATGAAGACTGTCCGAAGGCGATTCGTGTCCCTGTCTCTGACTCAGGTATTCTTGAAGCCAAAGCCTTCCACTCGACCACGCGAGTCCGCCACGCCCGATTGGATGCTGGCTTCACTGCCATAAGCCCGCAAGGGTGGCGGTATTGCCACTCCTTGCGGATTGTTAAGCTGCCTGATACGGTCGTGACGTTAGGATACGCAGTCTTCCAAGGCTGTTACTCCCTACAGGTAGCAGAAATGCCGGGGTGTGTGGAGTTTGGTGTTCGAGTATTCGCTGAGTGCTGCGCGCTGGAGAGCGTGGGCAATATTGTCGATGGAGGTTGCCATCTTGCAATAGGCGCCATTGTCAGCCAATATGCCTTCGAGGAATGTGATAAGCTAGCTCACCTATCCCTACCTCATGTACGAGCAGTAGTTGATAGTCACACACTCACATCCCCGCAGGCAGGACTCCCTCAGGGGTGCTTCTTTGCAAGCGGTATCCAGCAAGTAGAACTCGGAGAGGACACATACCACATAGGCCATAGAGCCCTAGAAAATTGCAAAAGGCTTACCCGAGTCGACCTCCTCAACACGGGCATTCACATCCTTCATATGCACACTTTTGCGCAGTGCCACAGCCTTGTTGCGATTCGGCTGCCGAACTGCCTGAGTGAAATTAGAGCAGAAGTGTTTGTAGGGTGTAATGCCTTAGAAAGGCTGACTCTTCCGGACAGCATTCGCTATCTAGGATACAGGGCCTTTGGGGATTGTACAGAACTCTCCTCCCTAGAGTATGCATGGAGCAAGCAGAAAGCATGGCGATATCCATATGCGGCTGACAATGCCTTTGAAGGATGCCTCAAACTGACCACCCCTAAATGGCTCCACCGCATCCCGGCCAAGGACAGCGATTGGATTGCCCCGTGTTACTGACTGAAGTGAAGGAAGGCCTGGCAACAACTCCTAGAGTAGTGGAAGGCCTGAGTGAGCATGGACGGTTACCCAAGTAACTGCCCCTCTGCACTGTGAGGCTCAAGCCCCCAGTAGCTAGTACAGGCACAGGGTATACTACGGCCATGCACAGTGACATGGAGTCGCAAACGAGCTCGCTTGTCAGCCATGAACGACAGCTGGTGGTCTACCTGCAGTGAACGTCTCTCTCAGGAGAAGACTATCAAGTCACAGTCGATCTCCAAGAATTTGATCGCTTTAATGAGTTTGAAACTGCAGTACTAGAGCAGCTCCCCACAATAGGAGGCACCAGCACATTTGGTTGTGAACTCACCTTTGTTAGACAAGACACCGGGCAGCTTCTGTGCAGTCCGGTGTGGGACACCCTCAGAGATTGCAACCAGTTTCAGATAGTCGCCCGCCAATGCTGTCAGTGCGCAGAGCATAAAGGCCAGATGAGGCAGAATGCAAAAGCAATCCGAGTGCCTGTCACCAGATCAGGGCAGGTGATCCCCCACGCCTTCACACATTCGAGCGATATTAGGCACCTACGAATCGAAACAGGCATACACACCATTGGGGAAACGGCCTGGCAGCATTGCGCTAGGCTTCTCATAGTGCACCTGCCCAGTTCACTACTATGCCTGAAAGATGGAGCCTTCCGATGTTGTTATGTGCTCCACACAGTCACTGCTCCGGGGTGTATTGACTTCGGCTGCTGGGCTTTCGAGGAGTGCCATGCGTTGGCCTGGGTTGGAGACCCAGACCAACGAAGCAATCAATTAGCTTCGCTTGCGGACAATTGGCCTGGACAGGACCAAATATAACCCACGAGACCCGCACAGGGTCGTCCCGGAAGGGTGCTTCCTAGGGACAGGGCTGGAAACGATTGACCTCCCAAATGACTTCAGCTGGATCGGACCATCAGCCTTTGAACACTGCGCAAGATTGCAGACAGTGGACATCTCCCGCACCGGCGGCATTCAAGAAATCGTAGGAAGCGCCTTTGCAGGCTGCAGCCAACTGCAGTGCATCAAATTGTCTAACACGCTGAGGCGCGTTGGCAGAGAAGCCTTCAAGAAGTGTAGCTCATTAGAGGTCCTACACACTCCACTTGCCTTGTTATACATCAACAAGCGAGCTTTTGCGGACTGCACACAGCTCTGCATCGTCCGGATGGGCAAGAAAGGCAAGAAAGGAACCTGGAGGGGGACTTATGTTGAGCATAACACCTTTGAAATGTGTACCAAATTAACACTCCCAGTGTGGATTCGATCTCTTCCCAAGCCAGATGCAGTGAAAGAAGAGTGGGAAGAATTCATGCTTCTTTGTCCCAGTGCAATGGTCAGATAGGTAAGCTGTCTGTGATGGACGGTCCTTGGAGACCTGGTTGGCTCAGTGCCTTTTGCCCCTTGGCACTGTCACCAGGTCCCGTGTGCTCCTGCCTCCCCCGCTGGGGGAGGCGGTGACCTGCTTGCAGATGTCCCGACCTCCCGTGCCTCCGCCTGTCTGGCACACTGCTGCGAAGACTCCTGTTCGTTTGAAATGTCCTGGATGCAGTAGCAGCATGTGCAAGTTCATTGCAGCCAAGTGAAATGACTACATGAGCATAAGCTAAGGCCAGGTACCAACCCTGTCCTCCCAACATGATTCGCTAGGCCAAAACTCATGCTCCAGATTGCTGCTAGGGGTGCGCTAAGGACGAGCCAAGACACGAGTATGCTGAAGTTTTGCTTCGTAGAGGTGAAGTGCTACCGCCACGCTCTGGGTCACTGTGAGACTCCCTAGGTTCTTTGCGCGCATGCATTCTTTGATATAAGTTGTGCTGTGCCTTGCTTTGCATGGACCTAGCCGAACCTGAATTGCACCTCACTCTCGCTTTCAGCATGCTCAGGCATTTCCACACGCAGTGCACCGCTGAAGGAATACACTCCTGCCCAAACGCAGACTGCATCAGAATGCAGTTTCGCCCTGGACGTCCACTACTGAGAGCGGCTTGATATGAATTCATTGCCCCGTTTCACTACTGTGTTGGTCCTCGGATCTACACCTTTTGCTCTGTTAGACTCGTACGGACTTGAGCCTGACCCCTTTGGTTCTGGTTGGTGGTTGTTTTGTTTGGTGTGGTGTTTGGTTTTGGGGTTTGGTTTGGTGCTGCTTGTCGTGTTTGTCAGGCTCATTTCGCGTACCCCCCATCTGAATTCGTCTCGGTGACTTGTGCCTCTCGGCACACATAGCGCCCATACCCGTGCAAAAAACAATGGAACTGCGACACTGTCTCAACCCGGGAGCCCAAACACTCCACACTGCAAAGCTCGCGGCAGTGAACAGTTTCAACACCACAGTTCAGACCAGCTTTGTGACAATTACATGTTTGCCATTGGGCCCGGCTTTGTCCAGGAGTCCAGGTCAGCACATTATGTGAAGTGCCTCCATCGACGACGTCGCTTGACCTTGGAACACTGGGAAGGTGTTTCCAACCCGTCCGACGGTCTTACGAAAAGTTGCAAGCTCATTGAGATGTGGCTGAACCTCTGCAATGCTGTAGGACTTGTACCCGGTTTGGATGAAGATAGGGCAGCATTGTTGAGGGGCTTGTCTCGAGACGCCGATGGTGACGACGAACTTCCGACAAGTGAACGTTCAGTTCGAGAAGGGGAGTATGCTCATCGTGCGTGTTTCTTGCATTTTTCGTCCGTTGGTGATCGGAAAGGTGACGGGAGAGCTGGGCATTGTGCCTATTGAAGTTTGAATTTTGTCGATTGTGCTTTTTCCGGAACAGTTTTCCAAAGTCAAAAGTCGTTTTGAAGAGTTTCTGAATCTGTGCTGTGTGTTTTGTTGTTGTCCGTCTGTGTTCGGATCCGTCCGGATGAGTTCGGAAGAGTTTCGGTGGCCTTTTGTGTGCAGCGTGTGGATTTGGAACCTCTTGCTGAGTTGACAGAACTTTAGTGGAAGGACGTGTCCGAGAGCAGTCGTTGAGGTCCGACTAGGTTCGGAGGTGTAGGATGACTGTTTCTTGTGGATTTAGGAGCCTTCTGTTCTGTGGTGCAGTGTTTTGAGTTTTGCTGAATTTGTGTTGTGCACGTTGCTTGGAATCTGGATGAGCATTCACTGAGGAATCCTGTTTGCTTCACCGAATGTCCGGATAGCTACCTCTTTCCTAAGGAAATGGAGACGTTTGACCTGTAGAACCTTTTGCTGTGACACTTTTCCTTGTTTGGACTGTTCTCAGCACCTTGAGACAGTGGAACTGAATGATGACCGCCCGCGGCCATTTTTGTTTAAGAAGGCAGCAGAGAGAAGTCCACTGGTGGCCTTGCACCAGGCAAAGGATTTTCGTGTGTGGTTTGAAACCTTGAAACCGTTGATTTTTGCTGCAATAAGGAGTCGCGAACCATGAGTAGCTAGATCAGGGGTTTTGAGTGTCAGACATGTCCAGTTGTTTGTGTTTCATGCCAGGGATTGCAGGGTTGAGACGCCAGAGAGTGACAGTTTGAGACTTCAGATGCTGCAGAATATGTGGACACAGTCGTGCAAAAGGGTTGTCAACATTCTTTTTCCCAGGGTTGGTAGCGTGTTCGAGGGTTGAACTAGAACAGATTTCATTTTCGTAGATCAGATGGATGTTCTTTGTGAGTTGCAGTTTGCTTGTTTGTGAGGGATACACGTGCTCAATGCTCACCACTCAAGCTCGAGTTTGCTAACAGCGCAAGTGTGATCGGATTTCGCGTTTTCCCAAGACTTTGTGATCATGGCCAGCCCTGTTCGTGCTGATGGAGATGCCCAGGTGGAGCAGCCTGTGGAAGCGGCTCCTGCCGCCTCAGGAGATGGGGAGAGTGCAGCCCCAGAGGCCCCGGTCGGGGGAACCTCGACGACTTTGACGACCTTTCCTTTCAAGAATGAAGACCTGCTTCGTGTTCAGGCTTCTCGTCTCCAAGACGCCAACCTTGGAAAAGCAGAGTTGTCAGCGGAATTGTTTGCTCAATGCTCGCTTTTGGAGCTGAAGTCTGAAGCTGCCCGCTGGCACTCGGCCAGCGACCAGGTGGAAAAGGATTTGGGGACCCTAGGGCCCTCATTTCGGATCTTCAGAGTCAGGCGACCAAGGAGGGCACGAACGAAGATAATACTTTGGTCAAAGACGGCCCACTCACAGGCCGGAGCCTGAGCCACGTTGTGAGGGTGCAGGAGGGCAACAAGAATCGGCTTCAAGCTCTGCGTGACGGGGAAAACCTCTACAGTTTTTCATACTTCTCGAAGTATGTGTCAGTGGAAGAGGGCTCCCTCCGGTCGTTTGTCGGGGACATTCGCGAGGGGAATCGTGACGCGGTCCTTGACGTGATCAGATGGACCACCCAAAAGATGTCAGAGTCCCAGGAGAGTGTCCGAAGCATGACCACCTTTCTTCGTTAGCCGGTGCCATTGTGGGGGTGCAAAGCGCGACCCGTGTCGCGGTGGATGACTCCAAGCAAAATCAGAGACAAACCCACAAGACTCTCGAAAACATGCTTTGGCAACTGCCGGCCCCGGCAAGGCGGTCAACCAGTCGATGAAGGATGTATTGATATCATCTGCTAAGATGATTCAGCAGGTGGAACAGCACCTATCGAAGAATGCCCGCATCGCCGAAAGCACCGCTGAGAATATGGAAAACATGGAGAACCATCTTGCGGCAATCAGCGAGCATTTGAGGAAATTGGTTGAGCTGCAATCGAAGTCGACCAAGACCGAGGACGCAAAAGCCTCAGCCAAGCTGCCGCCACCTCCGTTTGCGCCTGCGGGTGTGAATGTGCCGCAAGCGACTTTGGGAACAGCAGCCCATCCTGTCCAGCCAAAGTTGATGCCGAATACCCTGACTCCACCGGGACCGTCAGGATTCCCACCGGCACCACCATATCCGCAGCAGGGCTATCCAACGGGCCCATATGGAACCCCGCAGACACCATGTGCAGCGGGAGGTGCAACCGCATCGACAGGGCCGATGGCGGCTCCTTTGTACAAACGTGTTCGTTTGGCAGATGGATCATGGAACTGGGCTGAGCCAGACCAGGGTGACCTCATTTAGATCTTTTAAGATCATGTTGATCCGTCTTCTGGGGATGTAGCATCCTAAGAAGATCGACTTTCAAGGCCATCTTTGACTGCGGCCAGCTCACCTTGGTGAAAAGGGTTTGTTCTGAGAGATTTGGCATTCGATTTGCAGTTGTTCAATTTGATCTTGTGAGATTCAGTTTGAACTGGGTTTGAACTCTGGTTGAACTTTGTTTGAACTTCATTTGATCTTCACTTGAACTTCCTGATGTCTTGTTCAAGTTTTCTTGTTGAGTCAAGGGCATGCACGTGTGTGATCTTGAAGGGTTGAAGTTTTTGTGCATTGCTATGTCTGAACTTGCCAGGACGAAAAGGCATGAGGTCAGGGGTTCAGAGGGAGTGAGATCAAGAAGAGATCAAGGGTTGAGAACTGTGAGAATCAGGGATGTCTTTTGCATTTGCACCATGGACCATGCGCAACAGTAGCAGAGGGTAGTAACTAGAAGGGTTGATTAGTTCCCTTTGCTTGGTGTGGACTTTGGGACTGGACGACGTTTGCATTGAGTTGACGCCGAGTCGATTGGTTGCAGTTGAAGTTAATTAACAGGGTTCTGTAACCAGAGACATGCCTTGGAAGTTGGAAGTTTGAACAGTAACCCAGGGATTGTATCTAGAAAGGGTTGCAACTAGACTTCATTTCCATTTGTTGTGTGAAGCTTTTGGCACGTTGAATGTGACAGGTTTTGTCCTCAAGAATCTTCGTTTGCTTGACCTGTCAGGTGACCACTTGAAACCTTGTATGGTTTCAGGGTCCCAGTGATGACAGAAGCAGAGGCGAAGAGCTGGCCCCGTGCAGCTCTTTGAAGCCCTGCTGTCTGAGGGACCTTGAATCTTCGTTGTTTTGCTTGCTTGGTTGAAGCATGGTTGATGGGTTGATCTTGATTTGAACTTGCTTGAAGCTTGTTGTTCTTGATTCGTTGACGTTTGATCGACCTGGAGACCAGTTTGGACCACAGGAGTTGAGATCTTAGTTGATGCTCGAACCCTAGTTGCTCAGAGAAAACGAATTGAAGAGAAGAAGAAGACAAGAAGACCAGGAGAAGGTACGAGGTGACCCAAGAAGGGGTGTGAAAAGTGTGGGTAGCACGCCTGTACAGTGTGTGGATCACCTAGTACCTCTGTGTAGTGGAAGTGTTTTGTTTTCTGTCCTTGGGGTTGGAGCTGAGTAGGGATCTTCCTCCTTGGAGTGTGTTCTCTTTGACCACCTTAGCAGGACTAAGTGGAATGTGACCAGAAGTGGCTAGGAGCATGTCTAGAGAAGCCCTAAGTATAGAGCTGTAGTGCTTGAGATGAGCTGTGTATAGCCTAGCTTTGCTTGAGAGTGTTTGGAGATGCTTTCTTGTACTTTTAGTATGTTTTGGACGACTGTGACCAGTCAGACCTCTTCAGAGAAGAGTGAACGAACAGACATACAGTCAAACCGACTGTTATGTTGGGCTCAAGAGCGGGATTCAAAAAGGGTCGCACTCGCTTCCGTGTTTTCACAGGGTGCCGCCGTATCCTCACTGTGCATTCACATTCTCAGGCGGCAGCCCAAGATGTTGTCCTAACCAGAGGGGGAAAACACTAGAGTGAGACAGCTTTGACGCGCGCGCAAACAACACGCCACGGCCTTGCGTCCACACCTTGCAAAGCCGGACAGAGCAGAAAACAGGAACCACCTTGGCTCTGCTGAGCCACTGGTCAGAGTCATCCAACTTTGTGTGCTCGAGCTGCTTACAGCCGCAGAAAGCTCTGACGGCCAGATGGGGGGACAACAACTTCTCGGAGAGGTGCAACACAGGAAAGCTTCTTTGCCGATTCGCCATATCTTAGGCTTGACCTCCTGCGATGTTTGGAGACATCTTATCCAAAGTTTGGGGACCGTCTTTGTTGATTGCATCAATTTAGCCAACATAGCGATCCTACAAGACGGCCATGACTTGGACTTGCCCATATCGGCATCACGACGTGAGCTCACGAAGGGATACTTTTGCTCCACAGGGTTGAAAGAATTCCACTTGCCCTTGACTCCAATGAGCTAGGAACCCATGCCTGTGACAATTGCAAGCTGTTTACCCATGTGAACATTTTGGAGACCAACATTGAAGAAATTCGGAAGTTCACGTTCGCGCACTGTATCAGATTGCGTACCTCATGACACCCAGCAAGCATGTACTGCCGAAAATTTCGAGATCTGTGATGTTCTTGGGGTTGGGTGTGTGTTTTGGTTTTCTGTTTGTTTTGGTTTTTCTTGTGGTTCGGTGGTTGTTTTCTTCCCTTCACTTTGCAGAGTTTCCACCCACAGCATGATGACCTGTGCATACCGCACACACGGCGTCAAGACTCGTGCAAAAACAAAAGGTGGCATCTATTTGGCCCTTCGTCAAGTGACACCGGCTCTGGCGTCCTTGCTTGTGCAAGTTGTGCTCGAACATTTTGTTGGCGACCACCACTTGCACGACTTCACACACAAGACACAGACCTCATTTAAGATCTGAGATATCGCAAAGATGCGTTAACCAACTTGCTTTCCACTTTGTTTTCTTTTGCTGCATCTGATCTGAGCCGACTGCAATTGATGATGTCTGAACTGACTGCAACGTCAAGTGGTCGGTAGTAGAGTTGGAGTGAGAGTGCCCAGACAGAGACAGCAGCTCAAAGTAGCAAGATGATCGCTGGCTCTCACCAAGGGCAGACTTAACACTTACGTGTTTTTCCTTTGGTGCGGCTCTCTGCGCAATTCTTCCTCAAGGGCATCCAAGTTAGCATCTCTCGCTGGAAGGAGTTTTGTCCAGGATGGACGTTTGCACCGACTACACATTAGGAAAGCATGATTTTCTGCACACGCCCCTTTCGAGGAAGTCAAGTGAAAAGAACGGCTATGGCTCCAAATGGGTCCAAGAAGGGCATCAGACCAGAATGCTGCCCAGACCAAAATTTGCATGTGCCTGCATGGGTGGTTGGGACGCACCTCCACACATTGCACAGTTTCGGCACGGCTTGCACTTTGGCTCCGCGCCCCGTGCAACAAATCAAGACGAATCCGAATTTTCACAAAGCGCATTTTGCACATCCATGAACTGGAACACAACCACCAGGTTTTGACTAAGCTCTTCGAAGAAGATCGTGTTGTCTCTACTTCGTTTTAGA